TAAAATATATTTATATTTTTTTTTACATTTATAGAATAAATGTAAAAAAGTATGTCTGCTTTGTTAAATTTTAAATTATCAAACTTAAGAAGTTAGCATTAAAAATGCTTATTAATTCTGTGATAAACAGTGTTGAAATATGTTTTCAGACAAATTAGAGATTAGAACAAACAACAACAAAAAAATTTTAAACACATATTTAAGTTGAAATGTCATTTAAGAAAAATAAAAATCAAAGTTTTATGATTTCAGTATAAAAACTTGTAACAAAGTAGATGCATAAATTTTGCTTGTTAACATACAGTACATGTTCCATAAGACAGTAGACAAAATATATATATAATTTAAATTAGACTGTTAGGTATGATTCATACTTTGCAATGTTTTGCAACCAGTCGATCGCAATCCCCAATTAGGAAATCTTAATTTATGAAATCATTTAAACTATATTCTTGAATAATGTTATGTTCTTCCTGTTTATAAATTTCTGCAGTTTATAATTCTCTTTTAAATTATATTGAGGTTAACTGATTATCTGTTTTTTTTCCAATTGTTTAGATAAGATTTTTGAGGCTTTTGCTACATGTATAAATAAATTTACTTCAAGATATAATAAATACCATCTTGTGAAAAAGTCTTTTTTTTTTTACTGTTAAATGCTAAGATGCAGTTGTGTGAACAATAAAATTGTCTTTGTAAGCTTATATATACAATAATTGATTATAAATGATACTTGATAAGTTTTAAAGGGATTCTTAAATTTAATTTTTTAATGTATTTTTCTTTATATAACAGTATAATCCTAGAGGCAGGATGTTAGTTAATAAGTATGTTCTAAAATTTATTCACTGTTCTAAAGACATTGAACAAAACTAAAATGAAATTAGACAACATCATATTAGACAAAGATTGTTTCATTAATTGTTTTTTTTTATTAGATTTTTGAAACATTACACTCTTAAGGAATTGAAAGGGCTAGCTTTAGTTCAAAATTTAAATTCTCTGAATGAAATTCATCCTAATCTTAATTGAATTAGAATATAAATTTCTTTTTGGAAAATTGGAAAGTATTGATATATCCTAGCATTACTTGTATCATACAAATTATATCAAGAATACAGTGGAATCTGGTTATAATCACAGATAATGTAATCAATTTTATTAATCGGCTATTGCTATTATAATCAGTCGATACCAAAATATCCTATATAAAATTAATTAAGAATAATCTGTCTATTAAAATCAAACTTTGGGTTATTGTTATCAATTGTGATAATTATGCTTGGGGACAAATGATAAGAATTCTTAGAAAATTCATAGTAAATGCACAGTTTCTTTGAAACTTACTTTTAACTAAACATATCTTTTACATACTATAAAGGCATAAAAAAATTCTTATAAAATATGTGTACTATAGATCTTGATGCATATTTTTGAGGATGAACATTCCCATTGTGATTTCTCTAGTTTAATTTTCTGATCTGTTGAGTTTTGCAGTTGTGTATAAGAAATGTACCATACGTAAATGCGTAATGTTGTATTAAATGTGAAGTTTGCAATAAATATAAATTTTTACGTATTATACATATTCATACTGTAATTGTTTGTAATAAGTTGAGTTCAAAAATGAAAAAATTTATCCTCTGTTTAATCTTATCTAAAGTTGCAAGTCTTAAAGTGATCATAATAAGCAGATTTCGCTGTATTTAGTATTTCTGAATAATTTCGTAATAATTCATTTGAGAAGCATTGTTTATTATATTATATTGCATTATTTTAAATTCATTTCTTGCTTATTCTTAGACTAATGTTTTCACTTTACATAATAAAACTTAGGCTACATGATGACTTTGGCTTTAGAATGTTATGTTTTCTTTTACATGTAGACTGTTGCTAATAGGTCTAATACTGGTTGGAAAAGAGAAAAATACTGGTCACAATATTTTCAGATTGTCTCATTTATAAACTTAACTTTCCAATGATTTATTCATGGCTACAGGACTGAAGTTTATGCTAATAAACCTCTTGTAAATATTATGCTCTATTCAAAACTCAAATGGATTCACAAAATCCTTTTTAAGTTTTGAATAGTTTTATTACATAAGATTTTTATTTATATAGTAATTGTAAGATTATTTAAATAATCTTCAAATAAAGACTAGATAGATGATAAAATGGCTTTATATTCTTGAAGTAACATTTACTATTTTCTTTCTAATGTAAATAAAATAGATATTTTGTAAGATCAATTTTCAGTGGCAAATAATGAAGCTAAAAAACATACACTTTGTTTTTTGGGATGCACTTGACAACTTTTTTAAGCTTTCTACAGGAGATTTGAATCAGTTAAAAGTAGCACAGATGTAATAGAAACATCAGTATGTAACATTCACTAGAAAAATGTAAAATTCAGTAAATTATGAATAGATTTTATAAAATTCGCATCTTTAAGTAAAAAGTTAAATTTAAAAGCTCACACCAAGCTTTATATAGTTTCTGGATACAAATTCACTGAGTTCAGTGTTAATAAAGTTCCTTTAGTATTAACACAAGCACTTTCGACGAGTGTATAACCGTTGTATTCAGGTGAAATGAACAAATTCTAAGGAAACGAACGTGCAGAATGTTCCAAAGGAACAGAATTTTAAATTCAAACCAGGTGTCCAGAAATTCCATTAAGAGCGTGCAAATAGTTTTTGATATACACTCGTCGAAAGTGCTTGTGTTAATACTAAAGGAACTTTATTAATGCTGAACTCAGTGAATTTGTATCCAGAAACTAAAATTTACATCATTAAATTTAGTTATTTAATTATATCTTTCATTAATTTTTAAATAATTAGTCCTTCTCTGGACAAAAACCTGTAGATGTCTTTTATCTCTATTCACAAATGTTAGATGTAAAATTTGCAAACATTGAAGCAACTCGTATGTATGCAAAAAAGAATATTCTATGTTGGAAGCCTTGTGATGAAACTGAAATTGGGAATTTTTTGGTTTATTAATAACAGCAAATTATTTAGGTTGTTGCAACTATACCAGTTAACCAGTTTTATGGGATAAATGCTATGGGTCTCCTATATTTTGCAATATCGTGGGATTGAAACAATTCAAGAGTCTTTTACACATTATTAGATTTGATAACAAGAATAGTAAAAGTGAAAAGCAAAAATCTGATGATGTTGCATTGAAAAATGTGTGGAACAAAGTCAGTTCCTGTCTTGCGAAATACTACATTCCAGGTTATAATGTCACATCAGATGAACAGCTTACATTATTTTGAGGAAAATTTCCTTTCGAACAATATACATCTTCGAAAGCAGATAAGTATAGATGAAGATTTGGTGGCTTTGTGACTCAAAAAACTTTTATCCTTTGAAGACATACCATAACTTGGAAATGAAGATAAAAACAGAGCTATAAACCTTGTAGCTCTGTTCTATAGTAATGTTGTTCTAGAGCTGACAAATTCTGTCCACTTCTCAAACCTCAGCATTACTTTTGATAACTACTTCACTGATCTTAAGTTTTCTGAAGCATTCTTCTGGAATGGACTAATAGTAGTAGAACAGTTTGCCAAAACAAGAAGTTTATTCCTTTAGTTTTTTGCCAAAAAAGTCCAGAGAAGTTGGATTTACAAAGATGTTGCTTTGGTAAGTTATGTATTAAAACAAAATAAGGCTTGTCATCATACTATTTACCATACATTACATACTTGACAGTTTCACCAACTAATAAGACAGAGATGATTTTGAAATAAAACAAAAGAAACAGTTGAGTTTATTTTCTTGATCAAATGGTTTATTGATACATATGTAAACAAAAATCCAACAGACGACCATAGGAGACTGGGACTTGTGGAATGAGAATGTGGATTTCTTTAACTTTGTATACATCAGGTATGTGACTAGGTCTTTTAAGCAGTGCATTCTTGAACATATGACTGATATAGAAAAGAAGAGAGAAATCATGGTTATATATGCAAGTGATAATGACATTAAACCAGAACTCCAACAAGCTTCCCTAAAACAAAAAATCATACCATACAAATCATCTCAAAAATATTTAAGGCACACCTGCAGGGCCTATCCATCAATGTTAAAGAAGAAAAACAAATCTCAAGAGCATGGCAGGGCATATTCGACTCAACATTATAAAAGGTAGTGCATACTGTGAATAGACACATCAAATTGGATATTTCAGAAAAATTTTTTAAAAAGTTTGAATTCTAATACATTAGGGAGACATTCCTATCTAGAATGCCAGTATCAAAGATTCGATTTTGGATAGATCTACCTGAATGTCTTAGGTGTAGACCAAAAACATTAGTAATGGTTTTCTCTCTTATGTGCAAGGCCTATATAAGGTTGGTGAACTTCATATTGATTAGTGCCTTGTTATTAGAAGATTCATTTATATAGGCTACTCAAATGTAAGATACACTGTTTTTTAGGTGTTAGTATCTTTTAAAATTGGATGCATCCTAGATTCAATGTAATATATCATAATTAGTGACTTCTAGTGCTTTATGTCATATTTCTCTATCAATAGAGAACACTAATTCCATTGCATCATTTTAATGATTTAGCAGATTGAACTAACTTAATCTCTTATACATATTATTATAAATGTCAATCTTGTTAGTCTATTAAAGTGATAACATAACTACTTGGATGAAAATCCCAGAAAAAGTTGTACAGCACTCAAGAAATTTTTTCATTTGTAGTGTTTTAAATGACACTGAGGATGATTGCAAGTGGAAAGATGTGAGCTTTGAATCCATTGTTAATCCAAACAAGTGTATCTTGTTTGGAACACAACCATGAGAATAAAGAGTTTTCTGACTCTGCTACCACAGAAGACAGTAACATATGAATTATTTTACTATGCAAAAAAATACTGATCCTTTTCACATAAATTTGCCATTATTTTTTTTCAAAATAAAAGAAAAATTCTGCATGTTCATTGATGGAATTTAAAGTGTCTTAGATTTTATATTTGAGTATCTTATAAAATGTGATATTTAATTTAAATTTCACAATTTCTCTTCAGTAGTAGAATAATTCCAATAAAGCAAAAAATTATCATTTATGGCTTCAATTCATTGTGTTAATGGAATTTACTGGTAGTTCAGGATTTAAATATTTTTGAATATTTTCAATCGAAAAATATTTGACATTTCAAATGATACAGACATACAATAAACGTAAAAATAAACTAGAATTTAAAATTTTATTCATTAACTTATTAAATGAATAAAATGCATTTTAAAATAGCATTGTTTGGAAATTGGAAGATAATGTAGGAAAAAGAACTGAGTTAGAGAGAGAGAGAGTGAAAAGGCAACTAATTTTCTACAAAAAGTAAATAAATTTCGAAAAAATGAAGTTAGTAGTTAAGAACAATTTTAAAATTCTTATGCCATGTTCTATATTCTAAAATCATTAGAATGTCTTTCAGTATTTTCTTTATCAAAACCACAAAAAGAATTTGTATGATATTCTAATGATCTTCATACTTAGAATGCTAAGTAAGAACTTTAAATTTATTCCTAGTTGCTTCTTGTTTTTAAAATAGATTATCTGTTCTGCAACTTTCTTAAATTTAGTCTTGATACTTAGTTCGCTAACAAAAAAATATGTAAACTTTTGTGAATAAAATTACATACTCTATGTTAAACAGTTTATGGAAATCTTAATATTAAGGAATTTGGAGGTATGCTTTAGAGTTTTTTATTGATTTATAGATAAAAATTTTAATTCAGCATTATTCCACACAAAAATGATTAAATAAAAATCAAATTTTGGAAAGAAATGTTTGTTTTATTTTAAGATACTTTCACGCAAAATAATGCAGTAAATTTTAACTTGAAATTATTAAATTTGCTAATAATATTTTCTTGCTTTTAAAACTAACTTTTACTGATTGTTGTAAAGATAAGATGCACTTTTGATGAATAAGGTATAATATGTAAATTTGAAAACTGCTGTTATGGCAGATTATAATCTGAAGTTTCAATAAAGAATCAGAGAGTGTATGCGGAGCAATCATCCAATGGATATTCATATACGAGATTATATAATCTTAAGTTTAACTTGCACAATGATCAACCTTATAGATTTAATTTATTCTGGAGCATGAAATTGGTGTGAAAAAGTTGATTTTATTTCATACTTGTGTTATTGATTGACTTCTGTCATTTACCTAACATTCCATCAGAAGTATAAAAACATTTTTAATATAGTAAATGCATCTTCAGGTTTGAAACAAAGTTTTAAAAACATTTATAACATTTAAAAACAAGTGTGCACAACATTTAATGTATGTTTCTGAAGATGACTGATTAAAGCAGTTGAAAATATTTATTTAAAAAATACATCTGGTGGTTTGAAAAGCTTATTTTCAATAGTGCAATGAATAAATTAAAGATCTATGAATTAAAATTGTCTTCTGAGTGGTTCTGACCNACACTTAAAGGAAGTTCTTCAGATGTGAATTTACTTCAAACTGCTACCTCTTGAGTGAAAATTTGAGATAAATTAGGATTTTCTAAAATGTTTTTGTCTCCAAGAAAGCAGTCTAAATTGGATTTTGAGAGCTAGTGTATGTTCTTTGACAATATCACTTCTTTTTATTTTTCTAAAACTGTTGTCACTAAAAGGATCTTTATCTTGTTTTTTGGCAGGTAGAAAATGTATTAAAGTAATATTTAAGAAAATAATTAAATTGCTAAATTATTCTAACAAATCTCTGTATGATAAGGCATTAGCTTTAAGAATTTAATGTTTAAATATAAAAGAATATAAATAAAACTTTTTTTTTAAATGTATTTTTGTATGATTCAGTTTCTGACTGTGACAAAAAAATAAATATTTTTAAAAAACTTATAGCATCACATAATAAATAGTGCATAAAATAAAGTAGGGTAACTTATAAAATTGACATTAATTTTTCTTTTTATTGCAGTTAACCTGAGTGGTTGTGGAAAGGTGGATAGTGCCAATTTTGAATTGCTTAAAGTACTGGGAACAGGAGGTAAATAAATTGTTATTTTTCAATAATATTCCTATTGTCATAGTTTTGAACTACAGTAGATAAAATGTAATGTCATTTACTGGCACACTAATGTGGGAGATTCTCAGCAATATAAAATCAAATTCTTGTAAGTTTATTTTATAATTAGCGAATGCAATGTTTTGCAGAAATGGTAACCATCAATGACTTGAAAATGTATGTCAATGACAAGTATATGTACTTTGTAACAGACATTCGGAATGACTGTTTCTGCAGCATATTGCATCAGCTAGTTAATGAATATTGAAGAAATGAAAGAAAATCATAGGCGTTACAATGTAAAAATCAATATTTAAATTGACGGGCATTTGTCAGTTTGACATTATCCCTATGTATTTATAATGAGAAGGTATAAAATGATGTGAAAACATACTCTATCTCGTGTTTTAGATATGGCTTAAATTTAATACTTGTAAAAAAATCAAAAATAATTTTAAATCTATATGTTTGTTTTGCTAATGTATTATTATTGTTAAATTTTACTAAATTAGTCAATTTGTTTAATGAGTAAGATAATTAATACTGTATTAAGTATATAAATAGGAAGCTTGAGATTATATTCTATGACATAATCATTGTTCATAAGAAAATTTAAGTTTTAAAAAATGTAACGAAATTAGTAGATCCATTTGGAAAAGGGAGAAAAATCAATTATTTTTTATAATGCAAGTCTTTAAAATAGAAAAAAGAATCAATAACTATGTATTCTGCATTTGTTATTTAAAAACTTTCTTAACATTTAAATGATGATTTTAAATATGAAAATGCAATTAAATAATACATTAAAAGATCATTTTGAAATTTATTAAATACTCAGTTTAAATTCTATTTTTACATTTACTTAATAATGTATTTAAAGTTTACAGTATATACTTTGTCATATTAAGATTTGAAATCTTAATGCTTTTAATAAATTTAAATTTCTTTAGCTTCAGCAGATCAAGTAATATTGGTGTAGATGATGATGATAAATAAAATAAATTGTAAAAATTAACAAGTATGACAGTACAGATTGATATGATTAATGAAAATTGTTAGAATTTAGATCTCTCTGCCTATAGGTAGGTAATTTTTCTGCCCTTGCAACATCAAGGTTGATTAATTGATAAATTTAGACAAAGACTCCAATTCTTCTCTTACAAATAAATTAACATACTGCTTTGACTGGAACATCTAATAAAATTTAGTTTTTAATCTAAGCACTTTTGAGTTGCGTGTTCTTTCTTGGAAATAGAACAATTAAGTTAAAAATTTAAATTTTCTAATAAGGTCAAAGAAAAAAAGTAGCATTTCCAAGTGTTAACATAAAATGACTAAAAATATATTACACTACTCACACTGCTAAATTTTAGCATAAACTTGAATCATTGTATTTCAACGTGTAATGCTTGGAAACAGTTCAGGTTGACATTATGACATTACGACATTACTTTGTCGTAAAATTACACCTTCCAAACTTCAAACAGTACATGAAACATTGCTTTATTAAGATCAAAGAAAAAATTACCATCCATTTCAATACTTTTGAATCCTCTTAATTCATTCTAAACTATACTAAATATTCTCGAATATCTTTTTCAAAAATGCTTCATTCAGTTTATTTCATATGATGGAGGACTTGCGACTTCTGAAATTAATAGAGAATTAATATTTACTTTTTTTTTATTCAAATAAAGCAATTTTATATACTGTACTTCAAAGTACACGAGTTAGACTGAATTTTATTAAAAGGTCCAGTTAAGGTAATAAATTAATTTATTTGAATGACCAAAATTAAAATTAAGAAAATATAATGAATAAATAAAAATTAGGACAGAAAGATGATTAAACAAAATGAAACTAAATGCCAATTTCTTACATTATGGGGAAATGTATGTCACTGTATTGAGCAAGAGCAGTTTATTCTTTATATTGTATTAATTATTGTATCTGTTTCAATATCACAGTTGGAATGAAATTAGAATAAGTAGGAAACTTTATGGATGTTTATGAACAAATGATTTATTTACTTCTATTTTTTAAAACAAAATATTCACATTTAACAGTTATTAATGACCTTATTTCTTCATCTGAGACATCTGTTTGACCTTTTTTAGATTAATAAGAACAGACACTGTTTAAGTTTCTTTTCCGGAAGATTGCAGTTTTTTTTTAACGCAGTTGAATGTAGAAAAACTTTGTATGAGTAGTAGTATTGTTCAGAATAGATTTGACATTTGCTACTACTACACCTGTGAGTGGCTTTTGTTAACTATGTTAACTTTCGATTCAGTTATTGATTTAAATATTATTCAAACTAAATTATAAGATTTTATCAATATTTTTGAATCGTGCTTTGGCAAATTTAATCCTTTTTTTCCCTTTAAGGGTCATTGACTTGTAGATTTCATGTATGTTATGACATTTTCAAACTTGAATGCTTACACCGATCAATTATAAATTCCATTAAATATATTGACCTCTTAAATTACAATATGTTGAGATTCATTTTATTTTTATTTCCTAAAATTACAAGTAGTAGTTCAGTTTGATTAGTGAAAATATATATAAAGAAAAACCTATTTTTATATGTAAATATATACAGAAGAAATATATATTTCTTAGAATATTTTATTTAAAATATCATGCTGGAAAGGGAAATAAAATTTGTTTTTACTTAGTGATAAAATTCTTATCTTTTCAAGATAAGTGTTCATAATCTGTTTTGCCATAAATTAATGATCTGAAATTTCGTAGTGTTTATTCTTTAATAAATGCACAAGAGTAAAGTTTAAGATTGATATAAAAACAAAAGAACTTAAATATTACTTTATTCATCAAAATTTTAAAAGTGGAAACTCAATAAACCTATCTCTTCATACAAATATTAAAGAGAAATGTAAATTCTGATACTTTGGCAATGCGAAATTTACTCAATACATTTACAGTATTTATTCATTGAAATTTAATAATATAAAAGTTTAATTATATTCACTTTAATTTTTGGCTAAACAAAAATTATATTTATTTATTTAGAATTAATTTTATAAACATCGATTTATGATTGTGCTATATTCAGTAAGAATGTTAAAAATAAATAAAATAATTTCCCACATTCTGTATACAAAGGCTATTGTTTACAAACTATTTTGAATCTCAGTGAAAAAGCTCCCATTGTCTTCTTAATGGAATCATAATTATGTTGCGATTGTTCCGTTATTCTTAATTAATAATGTAACGAACCATCCTTTAAATCTCTCTAAAATAGGTTGGTGAAGAGAATATGCAGTGGGAATTTTTTATAAATTAGTTAGTGTCATTTTATGTATTTAATTATTAAGTAACATCTTGTAATTGATAATGTTTCATCATTTAGAAAAATTTTTTAAATTATAGACACTGATAACAAAGAGCTGATAAAACATTCTTAGCAACATATAATGAAAGGTTAATAGGATAAGTACATGATGTTTAACCTCTGAAGTTCACTGTGCCATGTTAGATATGAAAAGACAAACTTTATCATATTTGATTTCTAAAAATCATTCTACTTTCATATGGTTAGATTTTACATACCAGTTTACAAAAGATTTAGCAGCTGCTATTTTATTATAAATTCAGTAATTTATAATAAAATCTGCATGTCGGTAAACTTATTAAACAAAACAGAAGTATGAAAATTTGTCTATAAATTTATTTATTAATTAATTAAGAAATAATGCTCAATATTAGCAGCTTTTAAGTTACTATTAATATGATAGATGGATATTAAATTTATTAAAATGCATAGTTTAAATTATGAAACAGTTAATACTACTTTACAATAGCATATATACCGTATTTAATATATGAATTAGTAGTTCAATGACAAATAACTGGCATTTAATCAAAGGCATAGTGAGGGAAGGACACGTCTTTTTTATTTATTGCCCATGGCCATACAACCTTCAGCACTAAATGAGAAAGGATACCCGTAAACTCTTTGAATAGATATTAAGTAGTTAAAATTTTCAACAAAATATTAAATGTAATGGTAATATGCTATTAAAAATATATACAATTATATATACAGTATATTGATTAATGCCTCGTGCCTCAGTATTTCCTGTTATTAAAATTAATTATGTTAATAAACTGCATGTTTCATTCGTTTTCAGATAAAATATAGCATAACTGTTAAAAATCTTGTTGATCTAAATTTGCTTAGCTTGCTGATCAATAAAGACTCGCTTGTTTTCTAAAGTAGATTTCTGGCTAATTCATAATATTTTAATATAGGCTCTGTAACATTTAAATTTTATCTGAAAAAATGAATTTATTATGGTTTCAAGCATGAATATGATTGAATGATACTTTAAAATTTGTAAAACAAATATGAAGTATATATAAATTAAAATTTTACTGTCAAAACATTTACAGTTGTGATAAATGCTTCTACTGGTGTTTAATTGTACAATATATTAAATGTTAAAACATTTCTTAAGAAAGTTTTAGTAGAATTTACTAATTCATGTTTATATAAAGTTAGAAAACTAATTTTGTGAGTCATTGCATTTTGTTAAAAGTAATTTGAAGATTATGTAAAGCAGCATTAGACTTAATTATCCGTTAGTTTATCATCATCATCAATCCTATTTAATATACTTGAATAAGAAAAACAGTTAATATAAAAATCAATATACAAATAAATCTGTTATTTATAATGTATAATTGTGTTTAATTATTTTAATATCTGTTTTCATAGATCTTTTTGTCTTCAGAAGCAATGAGTAGGCTTGAATGAAGTTGAACAATTACAGCAAATTTAATTAAACTTTAATGTATAATATTTTTATGATATGGTATTTAACATATATAATATTAATTAAAATATATGTTTAAAGAACACTATGTTTACAGTGTTACAAACGTGTAACTAAAAACTAGATTATTTTTGGGCTAGATTAAGCTAATTATTATTAATTAATTAAATGATTATTTTT